TGAGGCCTGGAAGCAGAACATGACAGGACAGGGCCTGAGGCAGGGCAAGGCATTAGGCTCGAGGATGGGCGCGGGGCCGGGGCATGAGGACATGGGAAGGCACAAGGCCTGATGGCAGGGCAGGGCACAGTACCTGATGGCAGGGCAGGGCACAGTACCTGAAGACAAGGCAGCGGCACGGGGTCTGAAAGGCTTGAGGTCAGAGAAGGGCAGGGGCCCCAAACTAGGGTAGGGCAGGGCACGGGGCCAAAAGACGGGAAGGCAGCGCATCAAATTTCCAGGCAGAATATATAAAGTATCGTGTTTGAGGGCAGGGCAGAGCGGGGCACAGGGCCTGAATGCAGAGCAGGGCACAGGGCCGGAAGAAAGGGCGGGGCAAGGTACAAGAGTCAAGACCTAAGGACAGGGCACTGGGCAGGGCACATATCCTAGGGGTATAGTAGGGAAGCACATAATAAGGTGTATGACCAAGGGTAGGGCAGGGCACAAGGACTGGAGAGGGCATGTATGTGCTTAGGTACATAGTAAATCAGGGCACAAAGCAATCGGAAAGCCAACATCTTTTACACAGTAAAAGACCGAGGCATGTTACTTATTTTTGCTCGCACTTTTCGGCTGAAACCGTGGCATTTCAGTGCGTTAGGCGGCACGGGCGGACATCGATAGCAGCGCCTCTATCGGTCACTAGGGAAAGCTGGGCTGTAGGCGACGAAATACCGGCTGAGTTGTCACACGTTGAATAGGTTTATAGACATCCGTCTTGTGAAAAAGTTGAACTTTTGCCTTCAATATTTCTACAGGCAATTTTAGAAGTGTCTTCACATAGATTACAACACCGTTTGGATTATTGTATTCACTTCAAGCCTTCCCTATTGTTCTTGATGATGCGGGAACTATTTCTAAATAGTATTTCTAGCTTAATTAAAAAACATATTGTGCAAACGATGAAAAAAGCATATATGGAAGATTTTAAATGCAATTTTCTCTAGCAATTAATGGTAAATTCTCTACAGATGAAGAAAAAGATGCATGCTAACTGATAATTTAAAGTTCTTGGGGCCAGTTGTTTTCTTCTTTTCTTACGTCGCCCCAATGGCCGCGAATACACTTGTGATAACGCCTATCGGTGGGACGCAGTGGTCCAAATTTCGCGAGGGCTACGTCCCAAAGGCAGGGGGCTGCGTCCCAAAATGGGACGCAGTCAGTATGTTAAAATATGCCCTGCCCACCATTAAACTTCTCGTGACGAGTTGCATCGAATCATTACCCATTTTATGCAAAACTATCAACTTTGAAATTTGACCTTTTTTAAACCTTGACCGGACCTCACTGAACTCTATTACCGGGGTTACATGAGCGATCCGTTCCAAATACGCACTACGCTAATGCGCATCAGCTCCCCACAAACGGATCTACGGCACCGGTTACATGAGACTAATTCGTTTTATCTACGTCAAACGGATCTTGTTTGGCTCACCCGGGCTGACTCCTCGACGGCCGGTAATTCGCATCACAAACGGAATAGGATTAGCGTACAGTCATGGCGCAGTTGCGGCATTTACCGGGACGACTAAGCTAAATTTTAAATAATTATATCATTTGATAGGCTCAAAAACATTTAAAATTAACATGAAATCAAAAAATGAAAACAAAGTTTTCTTGTTTTAAGTCAGTGGGCACTGATTCGCCATGCAGCGACAGCAGGGTGGTCAGAAAAAAATTATCTATCAAAATATTTCATTCATTTTATTTCACATGCAAAGACTAAACCAAAATACCAACATTTTTTTGTTATTTTCTACGAGGCAGCCAATAAAAAAATGCTTAGTATTTTGCATTTTGACGCTTCCAGTCAGCAAAGAATAGTTCTTGTGAAATACGGCCCGAATCGTGTGCCTCGGACGTTTCGGTTACATGAGCGATCCGTTCCAAATACGCACTATCGCTAATTCGCATCAGCTCCCCAAGAACGCATTCAGTGCACCGACTACAAGAGCAAATTCGTATCAGTGACGTCAAACGGGTCTAGTTTGGCTCTCGGCCCGATGCGCATTACAAACGGAATAGCATACAAATGTGGCGCATTTCCGTAGCAATAGAGGTGACTGAATTAAAAATTTAATATCTCATGTCTTTTTTGCATTTAATCTGCTCAGAACATCCTCAATTAACTTAACAAAAAAAGTTGAACATAAAGTTGTCTTGCTTTGACTCATTGGGCACTTGCCTCTCTTGATTCGTCTGTAGTGCTGTCAGAAAAATGTTTCAACTGAAAGTACTTTGATATTTTCTTTTTGGTTTTCACTATATTTATTGACAAAATACCGATATATTTTTTTAATTATTATTTCAAAAGAAGCAAATGAAAAAAAATACCTATTATTTTGCATTTTAATGTTTCTTTTTGGAAAGAAATAGTTCCTGTAATACGGATCTTGGTCCTATTCGCTTCTAAGCCTCTTTCTCAGCGGATTTTGTTTGGACCGCCGATTCGTATTAGCAGGTGGATACATGAGTCGGTAGTACGCTCCTGATTCGCATTAGCGGTGAATCCGATCGTGATACGTATTTGCTTTGCTCATGTAACCGCGGATCGGATCGCCGATTCGTACTAGCAGGTGGCTACATGAGTCGGTAATGCGTTCCTAATTCGAATTAGCGGCTAAATACGTATTTACTGTGCTCATGTAACCCCGATATATAATGTGGAATGCGCATCGGCCGCCAGATGGTGTCCAACGGTGCCGCCATGTTGCGCAGACCAGGAAGCGGCCGCCGCCTGTGTTGGGGAATAGGGAATTCGAGACCTCGATTTACGTTTGCGGTCGCTGCATGCGTTACGTTCAAGCTATGTGGACACGGAACCCGGCATCTTACGCAGAATTGAGTGGAGAACAAGATGGAATCCAAAAAAATCCTCAGATACAAGGAACTAATACGTTAAACCCTTATAAGTCAATGGGGAAATATGAAAATTGCTATATTTCCGCCGAGAATGATCTGAAACTATCTCAAGCATATAGAATCATGATTTCATGCACTGCTTGCAAGGTTCTATGCTTCATATTTGCATTGTTGCCCTTGCGTGACGTCATTTGTGACGTCACAAGTGTCACCATTTTTCTTCAATAACTCCCGATCAAATTGAGCTAGCGAGTCGGGAAAGCCACCAATGGACTCAGGAAGACCTGCCGAATCGAATGATATGCGACATGACCTCTTTCGACCAACTTCGTGACCTGGGGTGCTGACCTGACCTTGACCTGAGGTCAACACCCTAAGTTGACCTGACCCGAACAAAAAGTATATCACTCGATGCGCCTGAGCTAGCTGAACACGATGGTGCCAAAATCGCGGCTCTACGGCCATTTTTGGCGAAGTTATTAACCAAAAACCGAACCCGTGCCTTAGATCACTTGACCTGACCTCAGAGGTCACCGGTTGACCTGAGACCTTTACAGTGGCTTCCTAGTTCCTACCAGTCATTTTGCATTATACTTTGCCGCATACGACCACTTTACCGCTTAATTCTAGTTTAATTAGCGGCGCATTAGCGAGGTGGGTTCAATCAACCCGCCGGGGCAAATGTAGGTCCGGCGAGTGAATTTGAGGAATTCTGAAGATACGATCGTGTTCCCCAATCAATTCTGCGTAAGATGCCGGGTTCCGTATCTTCGTAACTTGAACGTAACGGATGCGGCGGCCGCAAACGTAAATCGAGGTCCCGAATTCCCTATTCCTCAACACAGGCGGCAGCCGGTTCCTGGTCTGCGCAATATGGCCGCCACCGTTAGACACCACGGCAAATAGGGTTGAAGCGGCAGTGCTCCCCTGTGCCAGACCTCCACCAGAAAGTGACCTAAACCGTACCTGATGGTCTTATAACCATTGAGTTGGAAATGGTCATTTCACGATGGAACCGTGCAAATTATATTAGCGGGAAGTTGCGCCCTAGTCACCTCCCACCTCCGCCAGCACAGGTCGTGCCTCAACACGGAACAGGCCGCGCCACCTAGGTGCGCCGGGGAGAACTACAGGTCGCATAGTGCCACCAGATGTCGCGCACACATGAGAGGCGCAGATATATAGATTAAATTGCTGCGCGCACTCCGTCGCTCGGCGTCCTAACGGAAAAGGCCGCTTGGGCTGCGTTGCCTCGAGTCCAAACATAAGTCGTATGTCGGACATACTTACGTGCAGTTGTGGTAGCCGTTGTGGTTCCAGAGCCTGCGCCCACGCTGTGAGTTGCTAAAATACATGCATGGTAGAAATCAACGCTGTTACAATATATCACCCACGATCTAAAATCTATATCTGCGCCTCTCATGTGTGCGCGACATCTGGTGGCACTATGCGACCTGTAGTTCTCCCCGGCGCACCTAGGTGGCGCGGCCTGTTCCGTGTTGAGGCACGACCTGTGCTGGCGGAGGTGGGAGGTGACTAGGGCGCAACTTCCCGCTAATATAATTTGCACGGTTCCATCGTGAAATGACCATTAGCGTTAAGGTTGCTAAGTGAGTCCGGGCGGAGCTATACGTTCGGTGTTTTGGCATTGGCTGGCCTCGACCCCTGGCCCCTTCCTGGGCTCTTCTGAAAGACGCCAAAGTTGACCCAAACTGTGACATCATCGGTGACCCCGAGGTCAATGAAATTTGGTTTCCTTCGATAAATTTGACAGGGCTATCGAACGCCGTTTGAATTTTAGGAATCCATTCAGTAGTTTCGGAGATACGGGGGGGACAAAAAATGCCCCCCCCGCGCGGAAGGTGGCCAGGAGGCCCACCGCCGCGCAATGGGCCTCCCGTAACTGAAATACTGACAAAGCTGACAAAGCTCCCGTAACTGAAAAGCTGACAGTAACTATGAAAAAGAGGCTTATTGAAGCCTTGGCATTTCCTCATTTTCTGTACTGTTTGACTGTTTGGGGAAGCTGTGGTAGTGCCCAAAGACATCGTATGCAGAATGTGGTTTGCGACATTCATACGATTTACTGTCCACAGGGTCGGCTACCGTCGGCTGACTCCAGCATTGTTCACCATGTCGTCTACCAGCTGACCAGTCTGGGATGGTCGCTCTCAGCACGCCGCCACCCAGCACAGTGTGGGAGACACTGGCAGTGATGGCAGTGACCTGCGCCGCGGTACCGGTGACACCCGCTGCGCTGTCTGCGTCACCGGCCACTGGCACGCCCCAGTCGTGCCAGCCGCAGCTGGAGCTGGTCGGCCCGTCCTCGGAGGGAGGCGGTCAGGTGCTCCGAGTGCTGCCCGCCGGCGCCGGCTGCCGCTGCGCTTCGCCCAGACTCGTTATCGACGTCTGCGACACCATGTCCACGCCTTGCGAGAAGCTCGAAGGCGAGTTGCACTGGCCTCGCTGGCGCGCCGTGTCGGCGCTGAACCTGAGCACATCGCGGCTGGAGGTCGTCCAGTACGCTGGGTGGTACGGCGTGCTGGGGGACAGTTCCGACTGCATGCAGCCGGCGCCGCTGTGGGTGGATGGCCTCCGGGTCGCTTCGTGGAACGTCACCAAGTCCGATCAGTTCGTCGTAGGCCTCGAAGGCGAGAAGGAAAGCGACAAGGATAATGACGACGAGGACGACTGCGATGATGACGACGGTTGTACCACTGCCCTCGGCAGGGTACTGTGTTTGAGTGTTCTGGTGGTCGATCAGTTCGACCCCTCCACAATCCTGAATGTGGCGTTCCCCTGGCTGCGGGTGTGTTTGAGGAAGGTCAACTGCACAGGACAAGGCTGCCGGCAGTGCCGAACCGTGCCGTTTCCTCAGCGGTCGGCGGAGCTTTTCTGCGGCAGGAACGGGTCTCTGACACCCGGCGATCGGTACCGGATCAGTGTGTCACCCGATCACGACGCACTGTGCGCCTCCCACCTGCGCAGCTGCCCCACCCGCGCCTGGTTCGTCCAGCTTCCGGTGGTGGCTCCTCAGGAAGTGACTCAAGTGAAGCCGGTGGGCGTTGGGCCCGTTGCCATCAGCTGCATATTCCTGGGTGTCGCCGTCGCCATCGCCGCTGTCGCCGCCATCGCAGTTGTGTTGAAGAGGTTCCGCGGACGGCAGACTGTCCAGCAGACCGAAGTCACCGCCCCGCTCCTGCAGGGTCAGATCAGCGTCTCTCGACCGGTGACCGTGCTGTTGGCGGCTCCAGCGCAGGCTGCCGCCGGCCGGGCGGTGCGCCACCTCCGCCTGAAGCTGCAGACGTTCGGCGTGGACACGCTCTCGCTGCAGGACCGCGCGGTGATGTGTCTTTTCCAGCGACATCCGAGCCTCGCAGACGCGCTAGGACGGCCGCCACTGCAGGGCGCAATGATCGTCTTCGTCGGAGGAGAAGGAGAGGAAGGCGGCGTTGATGAGGGCCTCCGTAGCGCTGTAAACGGCCATGACAGTGGTGAGGGCGAAGAAAAGGACGCACAGGAAAGAACATTGGAACTCGCTGATGGCGCCACGAATGGAGTGGTTGGCGGCGTTCAGCAGCGTCTGTTCTTCAGCCTGCTTCAGTACGTGCGCAGCAGTCTGCTGGCGTGCAACTACAGGCGCGTGTTCGCCGTGGCCGTGGGGGACACGGCGTTGGACCCGCTGCTGGCAGACGTCTCCTGGGGTCGGCTGTTCAGGGTGGACGACAGCGCAGAGCTGGTGCGGCACCTGCTCGCAGCCGCCGCCGCCCCCGCTGGCGGCCCTAACATCACTGACCTCTGCAAGCCCGACCGGCAGAATCCACCGGAGAATGAGGAGCTCTTTTCTGTTGTGGAAGAGGATGAAACACTGGTGCATAGATGCAGAGGAGAGGAAGACGGAAAGATAATAACTCAAAAGGAAAACGTTCAAAGTTGACAGTGATGCACATTGTTTACAATGTGTGCACTAGTGTGTAGAAGTTTATCATAAGTCAGAAATATGTGTTATGGCAGCTTTAGCATGTGAGGCACCAATTGAATTCTTACACCCTATGGAAATTTTGTTAGAGGTGCGGAGGGTCTGGTTGAAGCATCCGTGACCGTCGGAAATTCGAATATTCATTGGATATGTTATGTCTGAGGCTTATCAGTCTGCGCGGGACGAAGAAGTCTAGCTTGCTGGCCGAACGCATGCGGAGATGGTTACAGACCCCTATGGTGTCCCAAAAGTAATGACCTGACAAAAAGGTGACAGGTGACTGAAAGTGAACCACCATCTGCGTGATGCCTTTACGTCACGTCACATATGTATGACCTCAGCGTGTGCGTGTACCGCCACACACTAAGTTACGTTGCTGGGTACTCTTGCACCCACCACCACAACTGGGTGACGTGTCGGTGGAACGGATCGATGGGCCCCCTGGCTACCGGCTGATACATGCCCCGTCGGTGTCGACTGAGGTGTGTGGTCACCGACGGCCGTGACGCCCAGTCCGCCGCTCCCGACGCAGACCGATCGCGCCACGACGAGTGTGTGTGGGTGGAATTACTTACCGGCAGTGGGTGAACGGTATCCATCGAGCAACGAGGCCAGCGTGCAGCAGCAGCAAACTCGGGGTAGCCATTCATTCCTGCAATGCCCCGTGCGGCTGGGCTGTTTGCTCCAAAGCATATGCAGCTGAATGGTGAATGGCCATCTGTCCCATAGGTTATAAGCATACGCTCAAAGCTGCTGTTTAAGATTTCGCAGTGACGTTGGGCTTCTAGTCAGTTATCGGTTAGAGCGGGACGAGTGATTGTTTGAATAAAGACGTGACTGTGAGGCAGGATTGGCGAGAGAGAGCTGCAGAAGATCAGAAGTGGACGGGTATTTGCGTTTGTGCGGCGGCGCAATGCTTAAACTGCTGGCGGTAAGCACTCTGCTTCGGAGGGTAAGAGAAAGCCCCGAGTCACGTCGGCGTCGTCTTAATCCCAACACTGAAGAAGAAACAGCGACTGAGACGGAGACAGAGTCAGAATCGGCGACCGACTCGGAGCCGGAATCAGAGACCGCGCCTACTGAAGCGCAACGTGGAGGGTCAGCGATGGTGGGGAACGATCAGTCAGATTCACAGCTGGACGCCGGTCTCAGGTCAACCTCAAAGGCCTGCGCTGCTGAGGAATCCCCTTTACCACCAGCTCAAGAGTCAGTGGCTCCCACTCGGCGACCGAAGACCGCCCGAGTTCGTCGGACCCCGCCGGGGGCAGACGGGGTGGGTGGGGCGCCGGCAGACGGGGTCAGTCGCACACCGGCGCACCGGCAGCCCCCGGCCCGTCCTGGCAGCTGGTGGCCGCAGCTCTCCGCCGGACGTCTGATCGGCCTGGCCATGGCGGCCGTGCTGCTGGCCACGGTGACGGTGCACTCCTTCAACCAGCTGCGACAGGACCAGCTGCTGCACCGACCGCGTCTCACCTACGGCCAGTGGCTGGCGCGGCGGGAGGCCAACGCCACCGAGCCAGCCGTGCTGCTCGGCACCAGGCGGCTGCGCTTCAACACCACAGCACCCGTGCACGTGCGCTGGCCTGACCACGACACGTGCCGCCACCACGTCGTGAGGTGAGTGGTACCAACACTGGCGGATCGGGGGTCTAGGGGTACCCCGGATTTCGATATTTAAGTGGAAATATTGCTGTCTTCGCGGTAGCGAACAAAATTGATGTGATTTTTTAGAGGTTCACCATTTGACAATAAGCAAACTTCGGGTTCAATGGCTTTGGGTTGGGGCCTCAGCCACATTCTTAACTGGATTAACTGCAGATCCATGGATCCAGTTAACTGGAAGGTTTAACTGGATAACTCCAAAATTTTGGAGCAAAAAAAAAGATAATTGCTTTAACAGAAACTTTGGGAGGGAGCGCATCCCCGGGCCCGAACCCGTGGCATCCAATATGTAACATCTTTCTTCATCTGACAAGACGTTTGGGCAAGAGACAGGAGTTGTGACAGACAACGACGAGCCTGCTTGTTACTTCTGTGATTGAATGATCAATAGCTGAACAGGTAATGCGAGAAATAAATGTGAATCGTTCTTATCGCGTACCTTCCTTCCATTTAACACATCGCTCACATGCACCCACGCTGGCGGCGTCTGTGTGCTGTTGGTTATTTCATGGCGCTCTTTCATTCTCTAGACACCGATGTGTTCCTTCGCGACCGGTATGCCCACTTTGGCGCCGTGTGTCGATGTTTTCGGCACCGCTTTACTATGCACTGACTCCTTAACTGGCTGCCGAGACGAGACGCACCGACTGCACTCGTGATCTGGTCGACCGCAGGATGACCTTCGCGAGAAGGCGACAAACTCATATCGGATTCATGCTAACTATCTGCATAATGAGTATAAGCTGGTTGCCCAATGTTGCCCGTCCGATGCCTCTTAGCCTGCTTAGCATCTGAAAGGTGCAAGTAAGAACGGTACAATGAAAATGCACCGTTCACAAACGAACGTAACGGTACAATGAAAATGCACCGTTCACAAACGAACGTAACGGTACAATGAAAATGCACCGTTCACAAACGAACGTAACGGTACAATGAAAATGCACCGTTCACAAACGAACGTATAAGGGGAAGGGGGTCCGTTGGACCCCCCTTGCTGTTTGGCCCCTGATCGAGCTAGAGCTTCGCGGAAAAAACGAGCGTGTTGCCCGTCACAAGGGAAAGCCGATGATACCCAATTTTAAGGTCCTAGGTCATCAGGTGACCTTCCAGGTCAGGTCAATGACCCAAAAATCGGGAAAATCGGGGCCTGTTAGAAAGTCGTAAAGTGTGGCTGCTAAGGGGTTTGCCGGGGTGCTGATCACGAATATCGTGTTAGTTTCGATCAGAGATTGATGTCTTTAAGCATTTAGACCAGGAAGGGTCAGGTCAGGTCAGGTCAACCGGTAGGGGTCGTGACGGGTATTCGTAATACCTGTCATCCGCCTCTGACAGCAGGGCTGGTAAAAAAGCAAATTGCGTCCCCGACCAAAAAATGAGAGCGAAAAATGACCCCAACCTTTTTACGATTCATGTATGCAGGCTTCATGCAACTACGATCAGGGGCGGTCGCAGACTTGGCGTTTGGGGGGGGGGCAACTTGGCAAAGGGGCCCCTGCACTGACCCGGGGGGCCCGGTGCTAGCTTAAAGGGGCCCACGGGCGTAGTGCATGAGTGCAGAAATCCAGCCATGACCGGTGAAGCGGGGGGGGGGGGGGTAGGGAGCGGCACCCGAGCGGAGGCTCATTGCCAGCTTTGAGAGTGTACTATGTCGAAAAGGTAAGTTCATTTGGAAACATTGGTAATGTCAATAATTCACGCAGCTGTGAATTGACTACCGCAAGAAGTAAAACCGGCTAACTTAGCCATTTTGAAGATATCGTGCTAAAACTTTTGACAGTGGGTCATCGGTATGTGTTCAATCACATGTGTTCCGTTTCTTATTTTTCACTTGAGCACACATGTAAGTTTTGAAGACCATCACAGTAGCAAATGCATCGAAAGATGGATAGTAGTGTGCAAAATATCCTGAATTTGTCGTGCTGCATCGAAAGTAGTGTTGATGAGAAAATGGGTTTTATTCCGGATTATTGTGGGTAGAGAATACATTGTCTGCACCCACTGGAGAATTATTGTTGGTGCAACTTCACCCACTGCACCCGTGGCTCCTACACTAATAGGCCCATGGATAACGCTTCGGCGATACCTATCGCATAGAGGCTGCAATGTGGCCCTTAGAGTACAGTGTCAGACCCCCAGGGGCCGGCGTTGGACCCAAGGGTCAGCGAAGGGCCTCAAAGGCCCCAGATGGGGCCCCAGAGGCTGATGTGGGCCCTCAGAGGCAAATGCGTGACACCCAAAGGTAAGTCTTGGGCCCCCATAGAACATAATACGGCCATCAGTGGCCGGTGTAGAGACCTCATAGGCCAGTTGGGGGCATATAGAGGCCAGTTTAGGGCCCTCAGAGACCAGTACAGGACCTGCAAAGGGCAGTTTGAGACCATCAGAGACCGACTTGGGCACTCAGATGCTAATGTGGGTCCTTACAGGCCAGCATGGGGCCCTCAGAGGTTAGCGTGGCCGCCGTGGGGCCCTTAAAGACCGGCATGGGTCGGCGTTGGACCCCTGTTGCGACCACCGAGTCTTACTGAGGTTTCTCTTTTCTCAGGTCTTGCACTGACAGACATGTATAAATATTAACTGTGTGTGCCTGAACTGACAAGCTGGCATGATGAGATGGCATGCTGAGACTGCTATGCTGAGACTGGCATGAACTGGGAGCGGAAACTTCGGTAACGCTTTACTTTGCATATGATCTACTTTTTCATATGTTTGCTTATCATTGGTTGTTGCCATCTTCATTTTCTCTTTGTCTGTCAATGGTCATCGCTCATTAACTTCTGTGTCATTGACTGTGTTATGCGCTGTCAATGACACATGCGGTCGTCATATTTGGCGCCCGATGTAGCCCGACCCTGGCCAACTACGCTCTACGAAGAACGGCGGAGGACCACGAGGAGGACACAGATGAGTCGAGAGCCACTGTTGAATCTGTCAAGCGCAACTTCTACATGGATGACCTACTCGTTTCGGTTCCAGATGTAGAACAGGCGAGGAAGATGCGTACGAACGTGACTGAGCTGGTGGCCAAGGGCGGTTTCCGTTTGACGAAGTGGACCACGAACAAACCAGAAGCTCTCCAAGGTGTCCCAGCTGATGAAATGAGTGCATCCGGGCTCGACTTGGCGCATCTCGGCCAGGGCACTCAGCGTGCTCTGGGATGCGTGTGGAGGCCTGGTAGCGATGCTCTCGGCGTGAAGGTAACAGACATGGACGTCCCAGCTACCAAGCGTGGCGTTCTAAGAAGACTGTCTATGGTCTTCGACCCTATTGGAATCGTCTCTCCGTTTGTTCTCAGGGCCAAGCTGCTCGTCCAGCACCTCTGGAAGCTGAAGCTCGACTGGGACTGCCAGCTGAGCGGAGAAGAACCCCTGGCTTGGGAGAACTGGCTGTCGGAGATGCTTCATGTCGAGACCATCGAGATCCAGCGATGCTACGCGGCTCATGTTCCGCCGGATGGTGAAGTCACAGGTCGAGAGCTTCACATCTTTTGTGACGCATCCCAAAAGGCCTTTGGTGCAGTCGCATACCTCAGGATGTCATGTGCCGACGGCACGAACACCACCTCCTTCATCATGTCACGGACTCGTCTCGCTCCCTTGAAGCAATTGACAATTGTTCGCCTTGAGCTGCAGGCTGCTGTGTTGGGGGTGAGACTGGCCAACTTCGTCAAAGGAGAGCTCACGTGCAGTCTCGATGAAATCTTCCTGTGGACCGACAGCTCTGTGGTGCTGCGGTTCTTAAGAAACGAAAGTCGTCGGTTCCACACTTTCGTCGCCAACAGGATCGCAGAAATACAAGATTCATCAGAGACTGAGCAGTGGCACCATGTTCCCGGTGAGCTCAATCCAGCAGACGTTTGCTCTCGCGGGATGTCAGGCCCGGACCTCCAGACATGCTCACTGTGGTGGTCGGGCCCCGAGTTCTTGACCAAGGATCGTGAAGAATGGCCTCCGGAACGCGTCACGTCAACGCAAAGCGCAGAAGACGCAGAAATGAAGACTCCAAATGAAGCAGTATTTGCAGCACAGAGCAGCGAGGGGCCACTGGTGGATCCTTCCCGGTACTCATCGTGGGTGAAGTACAAACGCACGGTGGCTTGGGTGCTGCGATTCTGCTAGAACGCCAGGCGGAGTAAAGACAGCCGTGTAAGTGGAGCTCTTACGTCGGCTGAGGTCCAGTCAGCTGAGGTTTTCGTCCTCAGAGAGCTCCAACGGGCGGCGTACCATGCCGAACTGCAAGCTGTCGCCAGTGGATCTCGGCTGCCGAAGGACAGCACGCTTCTTCATCTCTCCCCGTATGTCGACGAGCGGGGACTGCTCCGAGCGAGGGGACGTCTCCGTAATGCCCCACTGGCTGAGACCTGTCGTCATCCTCTCCTCATCAGTAGGAACGATGACGTGATCAGACTGATCGTCACCGATGTCCACAGACGGACACTGCACGCAGGTCTGGAGCAGACGCTCAGTGAACTGCGGCTTCACTACTGGATTCCCAAGGCAAGATCAGTAACAAGAAAGCTCATCTACAGCTGTGCGTACTGCAGGAGGAGAAGTGCGCAGCCCCAGACTCCAATGATGGCGGACCTACCGGCGAGTCGGTTTGACATGTCTCGACCGTTTGCATGTGTTGGCCTTGACTACTGTGGCCCACTCCCCGTTCGGAAGTTCCGCAAGACCGAAAAGCGCTATGTGCTGCTCATCACCTGCCTGGCGACGCGTGCATTGCACTTGGAGCTTGTGAGCTCCATGGATACAGATGGGTTCCTCGTGGCCCTCCGGCGCTTCTTTGCCCGCCGAGGGCGTCCGCGTGTCATTTGGTCAGATAATGGCACGAATCTGGTCGCAGGTGAAAAGGAGCTCAGGAGTTGTCTGGATGCGTGGAATCAGGCACAGATCACCGACGAACTTAGTCAGCGACACATCGAGTGGCGTTTTAACCCTCCCACCGCCAGCCACATGGGCGGTGTTTGGGAGAGGTTGGTGGCGATGGTTAAGCGCGCTTTGCGAGTGGTGTTGGGCAACCAGTGTGTCAGTGAGGACGTACTGCACACCGCGCTGGTGGAAGTAGAATTCACCATCAACAGTCGCCCACTCACTTACGTGAGTTCGGACATCAATGACCCTGAGCCTCTCACGCCCAACCATTTCGTTCTGGGTAGCCCTCAGGCTGCGTTTCCTCCAGGGATGTTCACTGATGGTGATGCGTTGGGTCGAGGGAAATGGCGGCAATCCCAGGTTCTGGCCAACCAGCTCTGGCGCCGCTGGCAGCGTGAATACCTGCCCATGCTCATCCAGAGGAAGAAATGGGTTCATGAAGATCGCGATCTGCAAGTTGGAGATATCGTGCTCATGGTCGAGCAGGGGTCACCACGAGGATACTGGCCGCTGGCCAAGGTCACGGAAGTTTCTCCAGGAGATGATGGTCGGGTCCGGACTGTGACAGTGCAGACCTTCAGCGGATCTACCTATCGACGACCAGCGAACAAGATATGCTTTTTAGAAAGCTGCGTTCAGGGAAGAAACTGAGCAAACGGCCGTGAAAGCGAGAATGAAAGTCAAGAAGAGTGAAAGTTCTGTTGCTAGGCGCTTTTTATCCTAGCCTTATTCAAGTACCGTCCTGCCCCCTGTCTTACCTGTTAAACAGTACCTCATCCATTGGCTGGCACTGACACGATGCGCCCAGCGTACTGCTCGATGCTCGACCTGGAGAAGCCTCGGGCTGCTGACGTACTGCGTGGCCGCGTCCTGGAGCTGAGGGGTGGCGGCGTGCTGCGCTGGACCTGTGATCGGCTGTGTGCTCGGGACTGGTTCCGAGACCTGGCCCGCCACCGACGAGGTCTCCTGAGCCCTGGCCGCTGAGCGGAGGATGCGAGGCTGCGGAGAGGTGACGTCTGCCTGGCGCGGACGACTGCGTGAGCTGCTCGGGCGAACGCTGAGTGGAGAGGTGTAGCGGATGATGGACTCTATAGTTTTGCGCACGGTTTCGGCGTTACGGTTCGCCGGCGCGGTGCGTCTGTACGATATCTGAGTGACTGGCCGGAGAACGGGCAGGTGACAGTGCATGGAGGCTGAGTGCTGGATGCTAAAGCTGCTGTGCGATATCTGCTTTTCTCTGAAATGCGCAGTGCTTGACGCGTGCGTTCGTGCGTATTTTGAGTTAATGTGTCTAGCGTAAGTTTTTCGGCGGTCATTGAGCTGAACGCTGAGTAATCAACGATGGTCGCTCCAGTTAGTGTTCTCCTCAGGCCTAGGATAAGCACTGCAATGGGAGTGTTGCGACCACCGAGTCTTACTGAGGTTTCTCTTTTCTCAGGTCTTGCACTGACAGACATGTATAAATATTAACTGTGTGTGCCTGAACTGACAAGCTGGCATGATGAGATGGCATGCTGAGACTGCTATGCTGAGACTGGCATGAACTGGGAGCGGAAACTTCGGTAACGCTTTACTTTGCATATGATCTACTTTTTCATATGTTTGCTTATCATTGGTTGTTGCCATCTTCATTTTCTCTTTGTCTGTCAATGGTCATCGCTCATTAACTTCTGTGTCATTGACTGTGTTATGCGCTGTCTCTGCTTGCAGAAACCCCACTTCGCTGCATGCGCGCAAGGCTGTGTTTTGTGCCATTCCTTCTGTTTCTATCTTTTTCCTTTGTTTGCCTTTCAATGTATCCTTCCCTTTACGTCTTTCATTTTTGTGTACAATAAAGCGTTCAACGTACAGAAGCATGTGGGAGTACAAAGACCGCTACAACCCCAGAGGCCAGTCTCAAAGGCCAAAGATGGGCTCTCAAAGGTGATGCGGGCCCTAAGAGGCCGGCATCGGGTGTTCAGAATCCAGTGTGGGGCCCTCAGAGGCTAATGTGCGCCCTTACAGCCCAGCATGGGGCCCTCAGAGGTCAGAATGGGGCCCGGAAAGACTGGCATGGGCCGGCGTTGGACCCCAGAGGTCAGCAGAGGGCCCTCAAAGGCCAAGATAGGCCCTCAGAGGCCGATGCGGGCCCTTAGAGGCCGGTATCAGGTCTTCAGAATTCAGTGCGGGGCCCATAGAGGCTAATGTATGTCCTTACAGGCCAGCATGGGGCCCTCAGAGGTCAGTGTGGGGCCCTTAAAGACCGGCATGGGCCGGCGTTGGACCCCAGAGGCCAGCGGAGGGCCCTCAAAGGCCAAGATGGGCCCTCAGAGGTCGATGCGGGCCCATGGAGGCTGGCATTGGGTCTTCAGAATCCAGTGCGGGGGGCCTCAGAGGCTAATGTGGGCCCTTATAGGCTAGCATGGGGCCCTAAGAGGTCAGTGTGGGGCCCTAAAAGACCGGCATAGGCCGGCGTTGGACCTCAGAGACCAGCGGAGGGCCCTCAAAGACCAAGAGGGGCCCTCAGAGGTCGATCCGGGCTCTTAGTGGCCGACATCGGGTCTTCAGAATCCAGTGCGGGGCCCTCAGAGGCAATTAAAGGCTAGTCTTAGAAATGAGGCCACCAGAGCCTGTGTGAGGCCCTCAGCCGCCGGTTGGGCCCCTGAGACCGGTTTAGGGGCCCTTAAAGGCCAGTGGAGGGCCCTCAGAGGTCAACGTGGGTCCTCAGCGGTCAATGTGGGCGCTTGACCGCCACCGAAGGGCCCTCAGAGGTGAGTGTAGGACCCTCAAAGACCGGGATGGGAGCTGTTAGTAGGACCTCGTGGGTTTCTCGAGCCTCGTGACAATCGAATACGGGCCAGGGCCCCCCCAATACGCCCATGGGGGCCCATCGGTTGTTTGGGGGGGGGGGCCAAATGATATGATGGCCCCCCTGATTTGCCTTTGGGGGGGGGGGGGCATGGCCCTGATGCCCCCCCCCCCCTGCGACCGCCACTGACTACGATGCGCGTTTCCTTAGGTTTCATTTCTATATTATTTTTTACGAGCAGTCATATGTACTAAATTGCTTATCAGACTCGCGCTTCGAAATTTCCAGTTTGTTAATTAAATGTCACGGCATCACTCGGTCAGCGGGTAGCGTAACAGACGAAGAACCCGGAAAGGGTAGGGGGCGCTACGATCGTCGAACAGATGCAATAGGTGTCGCTATTGTATCGGTAGCTCACAACGACGACGGCTAGAAACTATCGACCCCGCATGAATTTACCAATGTCCAACCGGTCCGACCCCGGTTCCGAATCTAGTCGTTTGTCTAGTCGTATAGCTGGCTACAACTGGTCGTCAATCGACCCCGCTTGAAATAGCACAGCCGACAGCGGGGTCGGTGTCTAAGCGTCTGTTAGTATGTGTTTGATCATCTAGTTTGATCTAGTTTTCGTTAGCAACTGTCGACGGTAGTTTTGCTGTTAACGGAAGTGAGTTGTGGCTACTAATTGTTCATAACCATGTTGTAGGTATGTATTAGGTATAGATAAGCTGTCAGACTGACAGCTTCGTAACATGTTACGAAGGCACCAAAACTACTTCGTAAATGTTCAAATGGTTGCTAAATTCGAATTCAGCTCCAAAAACTAGCCTAGAAACATATAAAACTCGAAAAAGTGAACCGAGGTCACCAAAGGTCAATGACCTGACCTGACCTTCAGGTGACCTTGACACCCACCCTTCTGTATGGGAGCAACATCAAATCACATGTTTGGGCGTTTCAAACCACGAAAAGCTTGCAAACGCGCGGTTAATGCGAGCCGCCTACGCCGAATCGCGATTCCGGCTAAACATGGTCTCGGAAAAGAGGTCACAGGTCAATGGTCATTTGGGTCAGGGTCATGAAATTTTCAGAGTAGGTGTAAAATTGATCAATGCGAGGGTACTGAATGTTTCGTCGCGATCGGCCGCTTTTTACGCGACCTATTCGCGAAGAACCTTGGGGGGTTGCAATTTGCATCACCCCCCGGCTGTGCCGGCGAGGGTTAAGTGTGTACGTCTTATCCATTTCATTTCCCTGACTACACCTGTTATGGGAGAATTTCTCTTTGGTGACCACGGTAAATAAACTAATAAACAAATAAATCTTAATATCTTCTTTTGTGTCAGCAATTATTCGTAATAACTGATAGAAGGGGCGCCGATTTTTTGTCGATGATCCATTGCGCTTCCATTACCTTTAGCTTTATTCTCAAACTAACAGCGTGCGCTGTCCTTCTGCCGCAGATTTGCTCGCGCTGGCCAGCTACCGCCCGCGGCGCTGGTCAGTCTCCCCGGCAGTGGCGCCACCTATTTCAGATATGTGATAGAGGGCGCCACAGGCATCTTCACGGCCGGTGCTACTGTCGACACTGGCCTGCATAACCGGGGTGCGTTTCACTGCTTTACAACAGGTTAACCCTCGCCGGCACAGGCCATTTTGAGTCCTTCGACGGCACAAGGGGGGGGGGGGTTGGTACGACCCTCCCCCTCGCGTTTGGCACCTGATCGAGCTAGAGCTTCGCGGAAAAAACGAGCGTGTTGCCCGTCACGAGAGGAAGCCGATGATACCCAATTTTAAGGTCCTAGGTCATCGGGTGACCTTCCAGGTCAGGTCAATGACCCGAAAACCGGGAAAATCGGGACCTGTTAGAAAGTCGTAAAGTGTGGCTGTTATGTGGTTTTCCGGGGTGCTAATCAAGAATATCGTGTTAGTTTTGATCATAGATGATGTCTTTAAGCATTTAGACCAGGTCGGGTCAGGTCAGGTCAGGTCAACCGGTAGGGGTTGTGACGGGTATTCGTAATACGTGTCAACCGCCTCGGACAGCTTCGTAACATGTTACGAAGGCACCAAAACTACTTCGTAAATGTTCAAATGGTTGCTAAATTCGAATTCAGCTCCAAAAACTAGCCTAGAAATATGTAAAACTCGAAAAAGTGAACCGAGGTCACCCGAGGTCACCAAAGGTCAATGACCTGACCTGACCTTCAGGTGACCTTGACACCCACCCTAATGCATGGGAGCAACATCAACTCACATGTTTGAACGTTTGAAACCACGAAAAGCTTGCAAACGCGCGGCTAATGCGAGCCGACATGCGCCGAACCGCGATTTCGGCCAAACATGGTCACAGAAAATAGGTCACAGGTCAAAGGTCATTGGGGTCAGGGTCATGAAATTTTCAGGGTAGGTGTAAAATTGATCAATGCGAGGGTACTGAAAGTTTCGTCGCGATCGGCCGCTTTTTACGCGAGATATTCGCGAAAAACCTTAGGGGGGGTGCATCAACGACGGTAGTTTTGCTGTTAACGGAAGTGAGTTGTGGCCCTGTGCTGGCGCGGGTTAACCCGCGCCCTGATGGGGTGCCATTTTGGCCCCCCTGTGATTTTTCTTAAATAGCGCGAAAACGGCGGCGCGCAGCGCCGCCAAATTTTGGGTACCTTACCGGGCATCAATTTGACACCTTCACACAAAATTTCAAGTCACAGGTCACCTCAGGTCAGGAGTTATTGAGGTCAAACTGAGATCATGTTCGAGTAAAAATGAGCAAAAAGCATGGTATCTTGAAACGCTCACCAATTCTACAGTTAACAAGCAATTTTAAAGTTCTTTATGTGGTTGTGTAGAGAAAAGACGGCGCTACAAAACTGCCATCTCGGATTTTCGAAACTTTTGGGATTTTGACCCGCAAAAATAAAAATAAAAGATTTTTTTAGAAAAACTCAAAAATTCCCAAAAAAATTCGAATTTCGAAAAAACGAAATATATGTGATAGTCCCTGCGCTCTTCGATATACATACCAAATTTTAGATCGATACCTCTTTTTTTGGCCAAGTTATAGCGAAAAAAACTGTTATAAATTGATGACGTCAAATTTTTGAACTCAATTTTTAGCAATTTTAGACCTCGTAGCGCAAAAGGGAGACCACCATTGAACTCCCCGTGACGAGCTGCATCGAATAGATACCCATTTTATGCAAAAATATCAACTTTGAAATTTGACCTAATTTGACCTGACCTTCACCTGACCTTGACCTGACCTTGACCAAAACGTGACCTAAGCTGGCCCTAAAGTCTGTCTGACCCACATTATCGCATTCGTCATGTAAAATGGACCATAAAACATGTATCACACGACACTTTCATATTGTGACCCCCCAGTGACCTGACCTCTGTGACCTGACCTGGTATCAGTGACCTCAAATAGCAAAATATGTGTTTGAAGAATAGTTCCCCATCGATGATTTTCAATGAAATGCATTTACTCGATTTTACAACGCATTTCTTGAAATGCCTGTAAACGGTGAAAATTAGACCTTTGACCTGACCTGTGACGTCATCGGTTTGACCGAGGTCAATGAAATTGGGTCACAAGGTAGTTCTTCGTTGGGGCTATCCAACACCGTTTACCGCTTGCCGCTATGTTGCGTGGTTTTCGAGATCTGAGGGGGGGGGGGCAAAATGCCCCCCCCCCATCAGACCGCGTTGCTCGGCAGACCCCATTTGGGCGCGGGTTAAGATTGCGCTATTGTCGATGCCGTGATCGATGCTTTGACATTCCCAGGGTGTAGTGTATTCCACACGTTTACTGTAAGGTTTGCGAAATGACTCTTCTTTGGTTTGTTTTTAGGCTTCTACGGTCAGCTAGTGCGTGACCTGGATGGAAGTACGGTTCTTCAGGAGAGCGGACGAGGGCCGCACTTGAGCGGGGTCGGTCCGGAGAATGGCCGTCCTCCTGGAATGCCTCCATCCATGGCGATCATAGGAGGACAACAGGGAGGACAGTCTGGAGGAAAGCGTCGAGGAAAGGCAGCGGACGACAGAGGAACGAAAGGAAAGGTTAGCCCGTCAGCACTTTTGCTTGTCCTGAAAAAGTGTTTTGTTCGTGATTAGACCGACCAAACACTTATGCAGTTGAAAATCTGCATGCGTATTGCGTAGCTACGAGAAAAAGTGTCTAGTGTCTGTGTCCTGCAAGCTACAGCAACTTAAAAGTGCGCGTGTACGTAAGCCCAGCGACGCCGCCTCCATGATAATGTGACCATCACATCACATTCGGTGCTGGTAGGTATACCCGGAACTCCATCCCGTCATGGTACCGTTGCAGCGTTGATGACCCTGACCCTACACCCCCGCCTCCTTCCCAGACAATACTGCTGGTGCAGGACCCACACCATGTCCTCCTGGAGGGTCGCGGTGCCGACGGCGAGAGCGAGTCCGTCGCCGACTTCAGCAGCAACAAGTGGCTGCAGTTCGTCACGCTCAGGATGAAGCAGTGGAACTTCCAGACGCAGCTGGCAGTCGATCTGGCTGAGGATCTGCTGGTGGTCTATCTAGAGGAACTGCGGGTAAGCCTAGTCAGGTGCAGGTTGAATGAACATAGCTGAATCAGTTATAGACTCAGGGGCCCGGGAACGATTTTCAAGTTGGGGGGGCGAGCCTAAAATGCCTGACATGATGCATATGAAACGTAGCGTAGCTAGGGGTCTAAGGGGATACGCACCCCCCCCCCCCCATCGGGTTCAAAGGGACCTCGTGGCCCTGCGGCGCCATTTGACCGCTGAGGGTTAACGATGGCCATATTTCGACTCAGAAGGGCCCCATGGGGCTCGTTAGAGCACCTCAGGGGCCCTAAATAGCCACACTAAGATCTCCATAAGGGCCCCACGCCGACTTCTGAGGGCCTCTTGCGGCTTTTAAGGGCCCCTCGGTGGTCTCTAAAGGCCCGTTACTGGCCTCTGAGAGTTCTTACCGGCCTAATGAGGGGCCAGTTCTAGAGGTGTTATGGTCCCACACTTATTTTTTTAGGGCCCCATAACGGCAACTGTGGGGGCCCTCATCGGCGCCTATGAGAACCCACACCAGTGCCTCTGAGGGTTTCACACCCCCCCCCCCAACTCTGAGTGCCTACACCAGTGCCTATCAAAGCCCTATATATCGGCGGCTCTGAGGACCACCTGCAGTCAACACCTGCGCATCTAAAGGCCACCCACTGGTGACTTTTGAGGGCCCCACACCGGTGACTCTGAGGGCACCGCCGGTCTGACAGTACCATGCCGGTCTCAAGGACCCCACAGGACTTCTTCTGCCGGCCTAAGGGCCCCTTGCCGGTCACTGAGAACCCCTGCAGGCTTGTAGAGGGTTCACGGCAGCAGCTCTAAAGGCCCCACACCCGTCTGTAACGGCTCCACGCCAGCGTCTATGAGGGCCCACTGCAACGCTTGTAAGGACCCTCACCGGCGCCTCTGAGAGAATCACACTAGCACCTCTGAGCGCCCACACCGGCACCTGCATAACGGCCCCACGCCAGTGCCTCTAAAGGCCTCTTACCGGCGGCTCTGAGAACCCTACGCCGTTGATTCTGAGGGTGCTACCGATAACTGAAGGCACCAGACAAGCCCTTAGTGTCGCTGAGCTTTAATCCCATACCGGCCATCCGAGGGCGCCACGTCAGTGCACCCATTGCCCCACACCCCTCCCTCACACCCGGAGCGGGTAAACTGTGTTATACCCATAGCAACGATTTTACCACCGTTGCACGCTATGTATTTCTCAAAGTTAACTCAAAACGGTCAACTTATGGCCAAGGTCAACTCAGACCCAAACAAAGCGGGATGACAATAGCAGATGTTGTCAAATCGTTACTGTATCAGCAGAAACTATTCAGATGGCAAGGGAAATGCCGTGTCTTGATGTTTAGATGTATAAAGGAAACAAGAAGGAAAAAAGTTCGGAAAAGGGAGGAAAGATCCTTTCTCGCTGCCTCAATGTTGAGGGGGCGCCGCCCCCTCGGCTCTCAAGTTGGGGGGGCAAGCGCCCCCGCTGCCCCCCCTGTTCCCGGGTCTATGTATAGACTAAGGGAGACTTACATAGGTGGGTCAAGAACGCACTGGTAGAACTAAAAGTGAGCCAGGTAGGGACTAGTTAACTCTAGGTGAGGCAGGCACGGACTGGAGGTGCTGCGTACGGCAGGGATGCCAGTTACTTCATGTAAATATGAAAGGAGGCATTCCAAAGGAGCTATGGAAAAGCCCAGAACAGATTAACTCCTTGGTTATATCGGAGCCACGGATGAGCTTCGCAAACTTCGGATTTTGGTATCATATGTGCCATCGCAATCTTCATCGGAATTCGAAGTCATCCGAGCACTTATCCTTTCTCTTCATGGGGTCGTTGACCCTCAATTTTCTCATGTTAAAGGGACCCTCCCACCTTAACATTAGATTTGAGTTGAGATAGCCAAAATGGGGTCCCTGGCTCACAATTACCGGTTTCGGCACTCACAACATCGAGAAATGCCTTAAATCGGAAATATTGAATTTCAAAATTGCAGCATTTTGATTCAGAGGGGCTAATGCTTAGGAATACCCCTCTGAATGTGTGACGTCAGCGCAAATATCTAAAGATTTTTAAATGTTTGACTAAAACGTTTTGTAGCACGCGGTGGTATATGCTATTTGCGCGCAACATCTGCCGCAAACGCCGCACTTCTAAAATAAAGTCGCTAGAAACAGCGGAGATCCCAAAAAAGTAAACAAAAGTAAAAGTCTAATATCTTGAAAACCGGTGAATATTTTTCGGTGAAATTTGGTAGATATTCGTTTTCGCTCTTTCTGAACCGAGCGACATCACTTTCATGCCAATTCATAAACTTTTTTGAAGGTGGGAGGGTCCCTTTAACTCTCTTTCGCTTTTGACCTATCACTCCAAAGGCATTGTGTTGGCTCTGATTCTGGACGTTCGCGTCGCGATGGTGTTGCACGTTACGATGTTACTGGACAGCACGCACTGACAGCCATGCGCTACTCGTCTGCCGCCAGGCGGAGCCGCTGGTCCAGCTGGAGAGGGTGATGCAGTTCCTGCGGCTGACGGTACCACCCGAGAGGCTGGCCTGCGTGCGACACGTCCAGCCGCCGCCGCAGCCCGAGGTCGACCCGCGCGCCTTCCGCGACCCGGCCGTGCGGCGTACCATTTCTGAGAACGTCCGTCAGGTGGCGGAAATGCTGCGCCAGCGCGGCTACACGAGGTCGTTGGAAGCTTACGAGAGGCATCCTACGGCGGCCGGTGGACGGACCGAGCTCTGAGCTAGGAGTTACCGGAGAGACCCTTGGCAGATGAGCCATGCACACGAGGGCGCTGGAGGGGTACGAGATTAAATTAATGTGTACGGCTAGTGGCCGCAGACCGATCGTGAAGCCAGGGGAACTCCACGTGCTGCGGTGCTGCATGGTACACGAGGTCCCTGGGCCCAATCTCATAGTGTCGTACCTTCCGTAACATGTATCATTATGCCCGTGTTGGCACTTGGCAATATCCGAGTAGACGAAAGTGAAACGATTCATCGAAAGGCCACTGCACGATGGACTGAAATGCGTGCGAAAAAAGTTTTACATTTGATTGCCGCCTTCTGCAGCTGAACTTCGACTTGAACTGTCAAATCCTTTCTAAGGCATTCATACAAACTGGGCCCTGGAAGGTTCCGATTGTCATTAGACGGCGGCCGGTGAACAAATGATCAAAATCTTCTAGTCTTTTCCAACTACTTACATATGGGCGTCTTTTATCTATGTAAACATCATGCCGATGTCGTCGTCTGCAACCTATGGGTGACTTGACAACCGGTTTGGACCTACTCATGTAGCAATAAGTGAAGTGCAAGGGACAAAACCATGAATCATGTGAGTATGATGTGTGTGGAAAGATGTGCACTTGCCAACCATCTATGTTGTTGTATAAATTATATAAAAAAATAGAAAAACTAGTTGATGCATTGTAAAACAAATATGTGTGCTTAGTAACTATAACAGTTATATAAACTGTTATAAACAGGCTATGAACAGTTTAAAGACTGAATCGCGGGGAAAGTTGCACGCCTGCAAAGAAGCGTCGCACTGTGAACGTCTAAACGGTTTATGTAAACGTGGCGTGCAGTGTGCACCATGCGCTTGTGTGAATATGAATTTTTTTAATATATCCAATTTTGTGCATTATTTGAACATTAATATGAGCAAAGGCTACAATTTCTCGTATTACATAGTATATATAACGATGCTCATCACAGCCATCCATTTCATTTGTATTGCATTTCTGAATAAATGTTATCAAACGTCCAATACCAATATGCAATTGCATGTATATTGTATAGGTATCAGTGTTTGGGGCTACCTGAGAAAGAGCCAAGCAATACAGTGGATCACATTCACATTTTCCCTTCGATGGACGATGTAGTTACGAACACCATTTCGTTGTCGGTATAAGGTATATCTGAACAACAGTCGATTACGCAGGGGTGAAACGCTTGGATCGCAGCAAATAGAGGCACGGGCGTCCGGAGATCTCTAACCGAAATATGTTGAGCAATTCTCACTGATTATGCTTCAGTAGCCTAGGTACATATATTTCGTTTTCTCCCATAGTGCTTTCACTACATTGTTTACCATACCTAAATTGAATGCTGTTCACCCACTTTCTTACATTATAATAGGAGTTAGGTATAGGTATGAATGCTAATTACACTATTCATGATATATAAACCACACAAATAAGAAATGCCTTACTTGTCTTATGCATGGGCTCTGGCAAAAACAATCAAATGGAGATATAGGCCTAACGACCTATACGAGCCCGCAGGCGCGTAACCACGAGTCTGAATTTACTGGGGACCACATTGAGGGCCGCAAAGATCGAATATTATATTTAAGATGTGGGGCGAGATAGGTACGTGCGGTGGTTGGAAAACTGTTAAGGATAAAAATATATCAACAAAAAAAAAATCGATCTGTCCGCTAACTTCGGTTCCTTTGTTCATAGTTTAGGTGTCTTAGAGGGCTCTTGTTTTGTTGACAAACACAAAGTCTAAATATGAACATAAAAATGTATGGTCGAAAGACATTCTTAAAATGGCTGCCGTTGCCTGCATATCACTCTTCACGTGGATCTAGAGACAATATTTGGCTAAGCAAATTGAGGAGGTCTTCGTTTTTACTGGGGACGGTCCCCAGTAGTCCAAAAGTTACTGGGGACCGGTCCCCAGAGTCCCCAGTGGTGGTTACGCGCAGAGTAGGTATATAGAACACCGTTACGCGCCTGATACGAGGTGTAGGGGAAAGTGGGTGTATTGCGCCCTCCTAACCAATTGCGCCCACCAACATTCCCACGAATTCAATGGCATGTTTATAATTTTGTGTTCGAAAACAATATTTTCACCACCTGATAGTTCATTTTATGGCCCAAGCTCTCCGACGAAGCCAATCAGCAGGGCTCAGTTACGCCATCAAAGATATTACGGCGTTTTCTTAGCTTTTTTGGAGTATTTTGAACCGTTGGCTATAAAAATCTGTGATACGTGTGTGATTTTCAGAGTGATATTTAGAAAGAAAGCCCATTCTTCAATTATATTTTACTTAAACAGTAAACTTCCTTCAGCATATTTATGATAACTTCTACGCTTTTATTAAAAAGTACCTCAATTCTAATTGCGCCCATGGCAATTGCGCCATGGGGGCGCAAATAGAATAATGGTGTAGCTATTGTATCACGACAGTATGAATGCACTATTAACTGATTGCAATAAAGAAGGAGTTTAATGCCAGGCAGGGGAGCAGTCCGCTGTAGCCAGTCCGCAAATTATTTCTCTCGTCAAACTTAAAATGCAGCTGCCATTTAGGCTGACAGCTTGTGGTGTAATTGACAAAATACGGCATTTTTAACATGGACTCGGGCGTGAGAGGTGACAGCTATGATCAAAAAGTAAAAACTGATGTCAACAAGTTGTCGAAACGATAAAAATTAATAATTTTGAGAAAAACGATTGAAAATTTAACCATACCTTCACATATATCTAGTCGGTTACATAAAACGTTTTCGTTGCACTTTTACAAACATATGGACACATGTTAAGTTATTAACCTGGACAAAAAACATCGCTATTTATATCTACATTTATTATTTATCCAGCCTGATTAACATTATAAATGTTTAAGTAAGCCGCAATGACATTACACTGCCGGGGTGTATGCATTCCGTCTCATTCGCTTAGCCATGTTTAAGTATAGGGCGCAATTTGATTCTAATTGCGCCATCCCCCTGGCGCAATTTACAGCAGTTGTCGGTAAATGCGCCCTTTTGCATGTTTCTGAAAAGCAGCTGTCGGAAGCAAACGAAACATTCTTAATTGATCGGGAGGCTCTTAAATCGTAGCTAATGAGTTCCTCTTTGAAGTGGTTACCAGTGCATGCATATATCTCCAGCGGTTTTCTTACAATTAGCGTTTTTCCTTAAGGTGGCGCAATTCACCCTCCTTCCCCTAGCCCTCGAATAAAGGGCGCATTTTCTCCTGCCAGAGATTTTAGCACACGACGAAAAGACGGCGTTAAATGCTTCAGGTTAATTCACATTGTAGCCACTAGCCAGCCTCGCTTTAGGTCAACCATATATAGTTTTTTTATATGTAGAATGATTATCCACTGACCCGGAAGTGACGCTAGGTGCCGCTGTCTGCACTGATAGGCCATATCCGATTCAGATTTCCCGCGCCGCTAGTACCGAGTCTCGCCGTCAGATGGCAGGCGCAGGCGGGCGGCCGGTCCTGCCTGCCTGCCGGTCGGGGTTCATGGCAGGGGCCGGGGCCGGGTTAGGGCGGCGGCTGTGAGTGTAGGAAGAGGCTCGGGAGTGCATGAGGTACGGCCGTGGCGCGGGTCTACTGTGTCGGAGGGCGGCGGTCGGTGCAGTTGTCGCGGCTGGGCCGAACGGGGACTGCGGGCGGCGTGCGGGTCGTGTGACTGTCGTGTGGGAAATTAACTTGGGCTGGTGCCCACTGCTGTTGCTGTTGGTGCTGCTGCTGCTGCTGACACTTGAGAAGAGGGTGCTGCTGCCAGGTGAGTGCTGAATGCTGTTACGCCATTCGATGTGATTGAAAGGTAGGCCTAGTCCTCAGTTTGTCACATGTCACCTGTCATGTATGCATATCCCCGGCCATACATTGTGCGGAGTTTGTCAAGACCAGCTTGCCGGTTTTGCATGTTCTTGCATTTGCATACGATGGCAAGCTCTCGACTGATGAAGAAGCTTATACGAGTATCTTCATTTTTAATAAACTGGAAACGGGTACGGTATAATCTGCCACGGGAAGATACGGTGACGTGCAGGCTCACACGGTGGTAGGCGGCCCTCCAGCAAAAGAGTGGTTGGTTAGCCTATGTGCTTTTGGTGTAATAACTTCACATGACAGAGACACTCCTGTAAAATGACTCAATAGAATTGAGAAGAGGGTTCGTGCACACATTTCGGCAGTGGTTTTCTAAGCCATGACGCATTCATTAATGCAGATCGATTATTGTGATGTTGTCAATTAACCACTTAATACCTGGACTCTGGAGAGCCGTACATACTTGGTGAGGTGAGGTTCACTTATATCGACGGGGTTATTATGGTTTATGTTTATTGATCACATTTAATATTTATCCCACCCATGCAGCATCGATATCTATAAAAAAAAAAAATATGTCATAGTTGGAAAATCAATCCTCTGCCATGGAATGACGATTGCTTTCCTTTTTCAGGCAGTGCAGCTGCATCAATCGAGAACGTCCCGTACGGAAGACGTGCTCGACTTACCCCTCGACCCCTCCACGACCCGACCCCGCCAGTCCATGGCCCCAGGTGTGGGCGGCAAGGAGCCCGATGGTTTCCAGGGCAGGCCCCTCGACGAGCTGGATGGTCCCGAATTCCTGGGCGGCATAGGTAAGTACCAGCCAGAGCTCAATATTACCGCAGCGGGGCTATGCGTTGTGACCGCAGCAGATTCTCGAGTGTAATTGATAGGTAGTCGAATTGTGATTGGTGTAGTCTTGTTTTCGTAAGTCTGCGAACCCGAATAACGATTGTGAGACGTGAGAGACCAAGTGTTTTGTGTCGGTTTGTGATGTGTATCAATGCCGATGGACGTTTATTCGTACTTCTTTCACTTCCTATAAAACGCTATGGTCGCCCCAGTCTCCCCAACAGCTATTGAACAATGAACATGTTCATAGCTCTCAGGTCAGGACCTAAGGGCTTCTGCGTTCTAAAGACGGGCTCGGTGTTGCTCACGGAACAGTGAAAGAATATTCAGTCTACCCCGCTGTCGTAAAGATTGTTGTGTCGTTACAAATTACAATGTTTTGGTGCTTTGAGCTTTCGGGCGATTGTTCGGGCACTTGCACCTTAGATACCCGGTCACTTTGCAGTGCACCTCTGATTTGTTTTGTAACGTCTACGGAGACCCTTCCGGTCTAACGACGCTTTTTCAAAGCCAGAAGGGTTATTAGGGGAAACAATGGTCAGGGCGGCCACCCTGGTGAGCCACCGGGACTGAGGCCGTCTGGCGATGGGCAGGTCAACCAGCCCCGCTAACGGTCCCTCCACCGCACGTGAGCCTGCTCCTGAGGAGCTACTCCAACTCGCGTGGGATGAAGGTAACCGTTCAGCTCGGAGGAGAGGGTTTGAGACGTTGAAGGGAAGGATTGGACTGTCCCGAGGATGAAGAAGGACGAAAGGATGACGCTTTAGGTATCTTGTCACCTGTGCATCTTGTTCATCAGATGAGTTATTTATTTGGAGCCAGTCGATCGAAGAGATGTTTTTGTTTTGTTGCTTTGTTGGGTTAGGCCCTTTCGGTCCAATGAGACCATTTCAGAGCCGGGAGGATGATAGGATATAGGGGGAGACATTGGTCTGAGCAGGCACCCTAGTGAGTCGCCGGGGCTGAGCCCGTCCAGAGGACAGGCCACCCAGCCCCAAGGCACTCACTGCACCCGGCTACGGGGTGCGCTCCCTCGGGAGCAGCGGTGCCGCTCCAAGGGAGCAGCCCGCATGAGATAAAGTTGCCTGTCCAGCCCGGAGGAGGGTTGCGGCGTGGAGGAGAAGGATTTCAGTATCCTGAGGGTAGAAGCACGGAACGGTGATGGATCGAAGAGAGCTTGGTCGAAACGGGATGATCCAGCGCATCTCGCGCCCATCGGTCGTTGTTCGCGGTGGGATGATGACACTCCAATCTGCCCCTTTCATGGCGGCCGCCCTCGGCCCCGGCTCGGCCTCCGTCTCCCAGACGCCCCCTCCCCCCCCCCCCCCTCCGACTGCAGACGGAGGCCTGGCGGGGGTGTGGCGCCGTCTGCCGACCTTCCATTGGCCGGTCGGTGACCTTGGTATTCGTGCGCACTGCGGCCGCCTGGCTGGCCGCCCGCCAGCTTCGAACCGCCGCCGCCAGGTGTCTCGCCAGTCGCGATCGATACGGCTCGCCTAGGGCGGCGGCGGGGAGCGGGGCTCCTCCAGTTCGCGGCTGGATCCGAACGTAGGGCGACACGCGGGGCGGTGTCGCTGAAGCTGGTTCTTCACAAGAGGAGCGCTCTCGGAAAATGGTAACAAGCGTTTCCGGAAGCAATAATGCTGGTGAGTAGAACCACTCTTTTCGGGATTAGAGCTTGTGATGTTTGTTACTGTAAGTGCGTTGAGCTCATGACCCTGTTCGATGTGTGCGTGGGCTCTACCGTTCTGGTACTTTCCATGCGTTCGGCTCATGCTGGACGGCCCATGGTGATGCTCCACTCAGCGAAGGGCGGCGGCAACGGTTCGATTTTGGGTTTTTGCACAATGCACCGTACTTGATCTCAGGGGCGGCGGATTCGGGGGGGCAGCTGCCCCCCCTGGCAAACTCGTGGGGGGGCAAAAGTATCTTTTTGCCCCCCCATAATTTGTGACATAAAAGTTAGACAAGAAACCATATACCTAATTATTCTGTTCGATCATCTGAAGATGTAACCAGATGCCCATGTACTTTATCATACGTTGCCTTTCTTAAATGACAAGCGTTCGCGTTCAATCAAGGGCGGCGCCACCGTGGGGGCAGTGGGGGCAGACTGCCCCCACTGGTAGGAGGCCGTGGGGGCAAGACTATGTTTTTGCCCCCACAAAATTTGGCTGATGTTGAAAAGGGAACAGAAGACCAGTGCAACATTCATGATAAGCGGTTATAATAGTACGCCTGTTTTTTACGGTCCCCGTATCAAGTGCATCAGCAAAACGTTCGTTCTCGGACCGTCTGTCGCATATCTCCTACTCCCACTCATTCTCCTACTCATGTTCATTCACCGTGATTGACTCCCGACAAATCATCGGCGTCACTTGCTGACTGTGCGTCCAGTTAGCGATGGACATTGGGTACAGACTGGTAGGCCTCAATCACCCTTAATCGTCGAGAATGGTCACGTGCTGACTAAATACCAAGACGCACCCGTATCGGAGACCTCTATGTTGCGGCGTTAGCCGTCTCTGTAGGAAGCGGGCTCTCTAGCAAAAGCTATTTTGTCTACAGAAATTAGTTACTGTGGAGCATATTGCTACCAGCCATGGCAACCACGTAAGCTCAGTTACGAACCAATTCCAGCGTGCCTTTAAGCAGGAGAGCCTATAAACGTAACATTTAGGTGAAAACGAACTTATGGGACACCCATCTCACGTGCTTTCAAGCATTTTTGGGATGTTTCGGTTGGTTTCAGGTTCAGTCCGAGCTCAGTCTGGGTTTCGGTGGTTTTGCCCGGTGTGTGCCCTCAGCTCCGTTCATCCAATTCTGGCCCAAGGCAACGCAAGAGCGCTGCCGGCATCTAGTACCTAATTAAGACATGTTTCCCATCATTTAAATGAATGCTTAGACTAGAGCAAAATGGATGCCAGAATCGTGATCAGTGGCTACGAAATCATCACAAAGGACTTTTCATGTGTCAAAGTCAGGGGCGGATCCAGAAAATCTCCAAGGGAGGGGCCATTAGAAACCAGGAGGCCCCCCACCTGTTGGAGGCCCCATCTTCCCACTTGTTGGCCCCCCCCCCCAAAAAAAAACTGCGTCTATTGAGCTTATCTAGCTGTTCAGTGGATGCGAGTGGAGGCCCTCTGTGGAGATTAAGAGGTCCTGTGTTGGCGAAGAGGATATCTGTGCAAGCTTGGAGTCCCTCTGTGCAGGATAGGAGACCTTCTGTGTGAGTTAGGAGACCCTCTGTGTTGGCTAGGAGGCCCTTTGTTCGGATGCGAGTGGAGGCCTCTGTGTAGGCTAAGAGATTTTGTGTTTGTTAGGACATCTGTGCAGGCTTGGAGGCCCTCTGTGCAGGTTAGGAGGCCCTGTAAAAGTGGTCATCTCTGTGAGTATAAGAGACCTCCAAGTTATGAAAAGCTTTACCAATCTTCTAACAAAGAAGTCTTCTCAGCTAGTCTTCTAAGAAATAACTAAGTGGGTAGGTTAAAAAAAACTCATCGGATTTCGGCCACTTTATTTTCAGGAGGCCCCCTTTTCAGCTTTTTAACTTTTTATTTTATTTTTGAAAAAAATCGGCCAAGGGGGGGGGGCATGGCCCCCATGGCCCCCCCCCCCCTTGTATCCGCGCCTGGTCAAAGTCAACCAAAGGTCATTCGAGGTCACATGAGTACCATAATAATTTTGAATGGCAACATCTAGGGGCAAGTTGCTCATGGATTTTGCAGATTGGCGTATCAGACAACAGTCGGGTCACCTCAAGCTTGCCCCCACTGGCGAAAATTCGTGGCGCCGCCACTGCGTTCAATTGGAGTTTTCCTCTCTTCAACCTAGTTTTGGAGGCATTATAAGCGTCAACGTGACGCAGCGGCAACCCAGGCCTTCAGTGACCGCTTACAGGGGCGGCAGAGGAGGCATCGTCCCCTAATAAACTTTTGGAGGAGGGGCAAACGTATATTCTTGCCCCTCCATAATTTGTGCCCTAAACATGGGGAAATTTTTTCATAACCTGATATTGCAGCTATGCGCTCGTACAGTTTGTCCAACGGTGCCTTTTGAATATGTGTAAATGCTAACCATTTCCGCTTTATAACATTTTTTTGTCTTTTCAGATTCGATTTAGAGATATTTTAAGTGTGCAAGAGACCCAACTCATACCTTCAGTTGGTCGTTTGCCGCGATTTTGTACCTACATAAATGCCAAATCGCAAGCGAGCGGAGACGGAAGGGCTAGCCATTCGCTTGCGGGTAGTTAGGACTGATGAGCGTTCATAATAAGCCACACCCCTGATTTTTTTTCGAGCGCAACAGTTTCCAATGCATAAAATGGTAAACGCCGAGGTCGTACACATTGACCACATTGACCAATGCACGGGTATGACACCCAAAGGCCAGTCATCAGAGATCTGCTTTGGGCATTCGGAGGCTTGTGTGGGGCCAGTGTAAAAACTGGATGTTCACAGTTCAGTATCCGATTTATTTCAGTTTTCACTATTAAATAAGTAAAAATTAAAGTTGGAAACTTTGGAGGGTTAGGGCACTGATCATTAGTGGGTCTCCCTCTCATTCGGAAACACGAATGGATCTCGTGATCGCTTTTCCTGAAGCATGCTTCAGTTTGATCTACAGATTGCAATCTGTAGATCAAACGCTCACCGTTCCGCGATCATGCGACAAACAGACGCCCTCTATAGGTTTCAATCTTCCCTGGGTCACACCAAAGTCCTGGTTGTAAAGTCAATGGATGAGGTCATTCGGCATTGTAGGCCCACATTAGGCCCAGTGATTCTTGAGTGCCAGAACCGGCAGATGTCGTGGCAAAATTTGGTGTGATAATTTGGACCTTACCGCAGTCAGCGCACCTATAAAGCCCTACTAAAGAAATGCCCCACCCAGAGCTTCTGGATCCTCGTTCCAGTCCACCGTTCCTTCACCCTAGCCTCAGCCCGCCGTTCCCAGC